GGTTGATCTTTTACATCCTGAAAATGATATTCTCTTTAAATTAAGTCATTTTAAATAGAATTTAACTGTTTGTGGTGTATTTTTCAATTTCTTAACTAATTTAAATAAATTAATTGCTTATGAAAATAGAGATCCATTTCAAGTAAGAAATGACATAGTTGATCATCCAGATTTTACAGATTGGGATAGATTTGCATTTTAGGAATATGTTAGATTAGCTATGGAAGAGGAGAATTAAGAATAAGGAGAAGTATTTGAAGGGGATATTATATGGGATAATGAAGATTCTAAATAATGATATATATAGTATTATAGATGAACTTAATTAATTAATAAATTGTATAACTTATTACATTTACAATTCTTATATTGATCATAAGTCACAGTTAAATATATTATGTATCAATAAGTAATCATAATATTATTTTATTTATGATATTTTTTATTTTCAAACAATAATATTAATGTCAACCGAAGACATAAACTCTATAAAGAAGTTTCTAAAATTTCAAAAGATGCATAAGAGTCTACCATCTTCAATCCCAATCCAAATGGGTTTAGATTCAAAAGCTTATAAGTTAATTGTGTCTCGAATTGGTGGACTCAGACGTCCTTAAAATCCTGTGTTAAATTTACAATTTTCAGTTGCTGCTAACTTTTTTATTTAAAACTAACAAGGAGACAAATGCTTTTTTGGACGAACATATAATAGTCCTCGTTTAAATGTGGAATTTGGACCTGATGGAGTAAATTATGAACATCCAATTATACCAATCTATTATCATACTAGAATTCTAAATAATAAAGAAATGCCACTCTTAATAATTCTAGAAATATAATCATATGAAACACAATAAGATTTAGTATTAAAACGCATGCATTTAGGTTGGTGTGAATTATAAGCATTAACTATTACTACATAATCAACTAAGCTCAATTTTAGAAAGGGAAGTCCAAGAATTTTATTATTGGGTTAATAAGTTAATTTTGAATCTTCAGGTATCTCAGTAACATGTGATCTAGTGCAAAGTGAAGAATTTCAAATAAGTATGCATTTATCACCAGAAAATGCATTATGTGGATTGGGAGATGAATTACCAGGACTTAAAAAGAGTTTTGTTGGTGGAGATTTTGAATTATAGAGAAGTATGGTTGTATTTATGAGTAAAATACAAGTTTTAATACCAGATACTATGGAAGCAGATATATATAGATAAGTATAGAAATATAGGACTTATAAATACAGAACTCCTGATGATTATAAAGGTGATATTTAGATAATAAATAAAAGATTGATAGTTGCATTTCATAATGGTTGGACATTTATAAATACTAGAGGAACAAATAATTTTGTACCTCTTGGAGAAACAAGAATGTTAGTTAATGAATTTGTTGATTAGAAATAAATTCAATACAAATAATTAGTATATCATGGTGTAATTGATATAAACAATGTTTGTTCAACTGATCCAACTGTTAATTCAGGCATGCTTGTAGCTTAATTAGAATATGAAGCTATGTTCTTAGTATCAAATTTAACTAAAGAGACTATGTAATTGACACTTGGATGGATTCCAATATACATTAATAATAAATTTGGTGCTGATGAAGTTTTGGAAGAAGATTTTATTATTGGACCAGGAAAAACATTAGATGGAAGACCACTTGTATCTTTTTAGAATCCTGATTTATCTATTAAATTGAAAGGGAGTCTTAATCTTTCAGGTGGTGGATTTTAAATCTAAGATTTATATATGGGGGCAGCTTAATAATAATAAGTTCCTTAATAGTAAGGATACTAATAAGGTCCTTTATAATAAGGATTGTAATAATAATCTAATTTGAATTAAAATTAATCACTTTAATAATAGTATTAAAATAAGTAAGAATAATAGGTAAGAGGATCAGATATAGATATAAGAACATAGGTAAAATTGAAAGATTTTGAATAACAGTTATTGAGATTATAAGAGGAAAATGAACGATTGAGAAGATTGGCAATTTAATAAACAGCAGACCCTTAAAAATAATAAGAATATTTATAAGCAATTGAAAAATTAAGAGAAGAAAATAGATTATTATAATTTACTTAAGCTAAATAATTTGAAGGGTTAGAAAAATTAATTAAAGATTAAAAAACAGTTGATAGAACTGCTGCTCCACCAGTTGTTTTGGCTGAGGCAAAACCATAAAATACAGTTATTAAACCTATAGATTCTTATGCATATCCTGTACCTTCAGCCAATTTGAAACCAATAACACGTACAGATGTTACAGCTTTAGTTGATGATCCAATATCAATAGATTAAGAAAATAGATTGATGGCACTTGAAATGTAAGATGAAAGGAAAGATTAAATAATTGTGATATAGCCAGTTTCCATGAAATAAATTTTAGGACCATATCCTATTTGTAAATCAATTTAAATAGGAATTATATTCTATGATTTATAAACATTTAAATCACCATTTTTAAATTTAGAGTATTATAATGATGAAAGAAACTTTAAATACAATTTAGAGAATGGTAATCCTCTTAGGTTATTATATAATAATGAGGTTTTCAGTTGTAAGTTTAATATTGAAACTTCTTTATAAAGATATGCAAATTTAGAATAAGATTTTGCAAGATATTTATTTAATAAAAATTTAATTTTAGATATTTGGGATAGTGAGAGTCTATTTCTATTTGGTAGTATTAGAATACCATTAAGAGGTATAATGAGAGGAGGTAAATAGAATGCATAAATAATGGCTGATGTTGAAATTTTTGATCCTTAATCAAAGAAAGTTAAAGGAACTTTATAGATTGTTATTAAAAATATTGGCAAGATTGGTTAATAAGATATGAGTAAAACAGTTCCTTTGGAAAATACATAAAATGGATTTCAGAAAAAGAAATTAGTATCTGAAAAACCAGTAAATAGAATGGATGTTCCTGCATAAGCTTTTGATGGAAATAGTATATAGGACAGAATAAAAAAGATTAAATAATCAAATTTATAGGAAATGATTAAAAATAAATAAAGTTAATAAAGATCATTAAATGAAGTATTAAAATATAAAGAAATAAAAAAACCATCATTAGTAAGAACTATAATGTAAGGATTCTTATAAAATGAGAAAGTAGTTCATTCATTTTATGGAAAATGTGAAATTGTACCTCTTTATTTTAAAAATACTCACCCTAAACCAGAATAATTTACTGTAAATATAGAGGATCCAGAAAGCAGAATGTTAGAATATTAAGAATTCTTCTTGATTGGTAATCCAGCTGAATGGAAATATTGGGTTACTAATAATAAATATCCAGAACCTGAAAATTATGATTTAATTAGAATGAAAGAAAATTAAGGAAAAACTTAATATTATTTTATTTTAGATCCTAATTAGGAAGTTACTTTATTATTTAAATTTATAAGTTTTAGATAATATGATTATAGAGTAGATGATCATGAAAGAACTCCTGAATATATTAAAAAATATATGTAATCTCGTCATATAACTATTTTATTATAATAGGATGGTAAAATGATGGATGGATTACGTATAATAGTAGAACCTCATTAATAACCAATAGATCATGTACTTAGATTTTATGAAAGAGAAAATCGTTAAACTAGACTTGTTATACCTAGATTATTCAATTAACCATTATAATAATAACCTCATGTACATATTACTGATCCTGATGTAATGATAGAATGGTCATCTGATTTTAATTCAATTAGATTGAATCTTAGAATAGGAGAACCTTAAAGTGTTAAGATATTCAACATTTTATTGTATTAAGATTAATATCAACATAAAATAATAGCTAATTGGAAGATAGAAGTTTATAGTTTATCTACAATAGATATTGAAGTTCCATTAGGTTAAAGAGTGTGCACTAAAATAACATTTCCTTGTGATATTACTCGTATTATTAAAATGACATCATCTAATAAAATGGTATCATTTGTTAAACCTTTTGATTCTGAAATTACAATGTTACCAGGTAAAATAAATTTAGTTCCTATTAATATTTTGGCTCTTTAAATTGGAAAACATATAATTAAATTGAATGGAGTAGACATTCATTCTCAAGAACTAATTTATTCTTGGTTAGTGAATGTTCATGCTTAACCTTAACCTCCAAGTGCAACTTATGATTTGAGGTATGTATTTATTAATCTTTTAGATGTATAGATGGAAGAGAATCTCGTCATCAAGTTAATTACAAAAATTAAGTTAATTACACTACATAATATAATATTGTATCTTCAAGTGAATTTGTCAAAGTATTCATTTATCATTATGTCTAATATAGATAATTGATCATAGTATCTCTACAGGACCTAATGAAATTGTTCAATTTAAAATCAGAGTCTTACCAGGTAGTGAAGAACTAGTACACATCTTCATTACTGACATTGATGAAAGAATATTTGATGTCATTGTACTCAATATCAAATATGTTTATTGAAGTTTCTTTATATTAATATCCTCTTATTATTTTATTATAAATATAATGCTTCTAACTGAAAAAGAGCCTTTCTTTCCTGTCTTAGTAGAAAACCGAAATATATTTAGAAAATTTAAGAGAAGATATAATTCTACATAACCTATGGAACGGAGAATAGAGTAATCAATAGATTCCATTTATGAAAAATCTCTTTTTGTATAGAAGAAAGAATTGCAACTTAGAACACTTGAACCTAAAAAATAATATGTAGTCAAACCACCTAAAACAATAATACTTAAAGAGAACATACCTTAAGTACTTAGTTTTGACAAAATGTTACTTGCATTTGTGTAGTTGAATAATCAAGAAAAAAATTAGCAAAATATGAAGAAAAAGACTCTTAAAATTATAACATAACATCAAGAATTAGATGTACTTGAGGAAGAACATAAATGTAAGAGATTAGGTAAAATATAGCTCTCCAAAGTCGTTTCTTTACAGAAGTATAATCGTATCTCAATGAATGTTATAGATTCTGAAATTTTAATTTATTTATTATGCAAATGTTTGAACTCATCATTTGTTATCGAAAGCATCTAATTGCTGATCAAATTTATGAGATTAGATTCACTGATAATACTCTCACATTAACAAATGTAAATCTCTATTTACAATCTCTATAGCCCAAGAGACCTGATACTCCTAAGTACATCCTCCCTTTAAATTGGTCCTCCTAAATTACATGGCAACTGACACCTAAAGAAAATGCTTTTGGCTTTTGGACATCACCCAAAAAATTTAAATGGTTTCATGCTAAACAAAGTGACTTACTCATTTTAAAGAAGATTCTTTCCAAATTTGTTTCATTTACTAAAGTATAAGACTTTTATGAAGCCACAGAACATTTGGCTAGTGGTAGCAATAGTCAAGTTTATCAAGTTGTGAGAAAGAGTGATAAAAATGATAATTTTGTCACAAAATGTATTACTAAAGAAGCAATTTAGAACTCGGTTGAAAAAATGGTACAGCAGAAGTCTTATTTAATTAGAATGGAATTTTCGATGAATTAAATATCCTTAAACAGTTAAATCATCCTAATCTGCCTCGTTTTGAAGAGTTCTATGTTGGAGATGGCACCTATTATATAGTTTTAGAATATTGTAGGGGGCAAAGTTTAAATTCATACATTAAAGAATTAAAACATTAATTAAATGTAAGAATTATTTAGAATATTCTATGGGAATTACTTTAGGGTATTGCTTATTTGCATTCTCTAAATATCATGCATAGAGACATAAAACCTGAGAATATTATATTAAATATTCAAGAAAAAAAAATAGATCTAAAAATTGTAGATTTTGGTCTCTCTGTAAAACTTGAACCCAAAAAAGAACTTAAGAAATGTGGAACACCAGGTTATGTGGCTCCTGAGATAATTAATTTAAAAAATGGAAAATATGGATTAGAGAGCGATATTTTTTCTATAGGGTGTGTATTCTATAAATTGTAAATTTATTTTCAAATTTATAAGGTTATTGAGAAAAGATTTATTTTAAGGGGAAACTCAAAATGAAATATTATCAGCTAATAGAAGATGCTAAATTAATCTTTAAAATTTATCATTAATACATATCCCTATAACTGCTTAAAATTTATTATCAGAAATGTTACAAGAAGATCCTAGATTAAGAATAAAAGCTACATCTGCTTTGTAACATTCTTTTTTTAGAGAAAATTTCAGAATCAGTACTCGTAATATTCCACTTACATTTTCTAATAATAGAGCTAGCTTTCTCTCTTAAAAATCAAATACTAAACATCAACAAAGTGATGATGAAATTGTAGTAGATTATTTTAATAATGAATTACCTCCTATTAATCAAATTCCTGTTTTTTTAGAATATCATAAAAATGGACAAAAAATAAGTTAGAATCAAGAAAATTTAAATTCTTAATCCACAGATTCAAAATTTATGTTTCGAAATGTCTCAAAATCAACAGGTTGAAAATATATATATATTTGGCTTTTCTTTATTAATTATTTTTTAAAAACTATTAAAAATTAATAAACTATAAAAAGAATGTGGGAGAATTAGGTACCGAGTAGCCTGAATTGAATTGGATATCACCTATTGCACTTAATATGCTATGCCAAACCCCCTTCTCACTTTCACTCTAACGATCAGATTGAAACAATCCTCTTCTCTAAGTTAGAGTGAAATAGATTTCTGGAGGAAGTCTCATAATCTTTCGAAATAACGGCATCTCAGAACTTACTCAGGCATTGTGAATAATTGCTTGCGCAATTTCGTAATATGTGTGCCTTAAGGTGAACTGGTACCCAACTCCCTTAGCATTTTGTAGAATTGAAATATTTATATACATAAAATTAATTTTATAATCATTTTATGGGTTATTTAATTCTTTCATTATTTTTTAATAATTCTAATTAATATTTCTAATAGTTTTTAACATTATCCTCTTATTTTATAATATTATTCGAATCTTTTTTTGCAATCTTCTTAAACTTATTTGAAACGAAATCACAAAATGTCAAATGTTTTTTATATAATAGACTCCTTTCTAATTGTATAACTTTATTTCTCATTAAAACAATATAAAAATTAACAAAACATTTACTATTATTGTATAAACAAATAAGATCGATTTCTTGAGTTATTATAAATATTATGAGATATTGATATAATATTTTAATATTCTTTTAAGTTTTATATTGAGAAATTAAATCAAAATATAAGTATAAAATTAGTTTTATGTTTTATTAAGTAAATTCATAAGTTTCTTATGAAAATTATTATTATTCTCTTAATAGATGTTTGATTTATTTAGTATTGAAATCAAAAAAATTTCATTTTCGTATCTTCATAAATGAATATTTTATGTCATTATATTAATTCCTATTCTACTTTTGTTATCTTATTCTACTTGCATATATATATATATTATTCTTTCTATAAAATTTAACTCTATATTCTCTTTTTGTTCTATTCTAATAATAATTCTTATTCAGTTTCAAATAAAATGAAATCCTAATTAGATAGAAATTATATAATTTTAATATCTTTATTCAATACAGTTCCATTTTTACATTAACTATTATCAATAATTATTATATTATTATTTCTATGATTATCTATTGATTTTAGTATTCCTTTCTTATTTATTTATTTCTTCAAATTCTTATTTAGTGTAATTTCTAATTCAAGGTCTTATGTAAAGAATATGTTAAATACTAAAAAACATAATGAATAGTTGTATTAAATGTGCTTTGATTAATTTTAATAATAAAATATTTTATGTTATTAACTAGCGAAAATATTGAATTCTACACTTAAAGAAGAAAATAGTATACTTAAGATTTCCTTAAGTTGACTAACTAATTCAAACCTAAATTAGAGCAATTACAAAGACGTTTAATAGCATAAAAATAAATTGTGGATGGTCCTATTAAAATTTTAAATACAACTTAAAAAGGCAAAAAATTCAGTAGAGTTTTATTATCTCTTTCAAAGTCTAAAGAAGTTTAAAATAAAATTGATCAAGAGATGAATAGATGTTCTTATTAATTTGAGTTAGATGAGGCCTTAAATTGTAAGTATTAATAACTTTATTATAAAGATTCAATTATTCTTAAACATGTAAAAAGATTTAATAATCTATGATTCCTTTAATTGAAAATATTAAACTTAAAATTAAAGAAAAGAATCAAGAATTATCAAATAATGAAGAGAGTTCAAATTAATATATGCAGGTATTAATACAATTTTAATAAAGAGAGAAGAATTATAAAAAATAAAACAAAAATCAAATAAATACTCTAAAATTATTGAAAAACTTTAATCAATGGAGATTAAGAAATAATAATAAGAGAGTATTTAAAAATAGAGTTTCAAAAATTTTGATAAAATTGATGAAAATGAAGAGATTCTGGGATATTCTGATAAACCAATTACATCAAGAAGAACTCTATGTTCATCAATATAATATGAAGAAGATAAAAAATTCTAATAGATTCCAAGTATTTCATAAAATGAATAAGACTCATAAAAAAATTCAAGATTTCAGGATCTAGACTAAATAATTAGAAAACATTATAAGAAAATGGGTTTATTAAATAAAAGATAAGAAAGTATGATGGAATTAAAACATTGTATAAATGATAAAAGATCAATAACATAGGAAAATTTTAACTTATAAAATGATATAAAACTTTAGTATTCTCAAAATAGGTTTAAACCTAATAAAAGATTTTCTGTTACAATTCTCTCAACATAAATAAACTCTTCAAACATAACGTAAAAATTAATATTAATTTAAGTCCAATTTTTGATGATCAAAATGGTATAGTTACTTGTAATGCTGCAAATAAAAAAAAAAATAATAGTTTAGATCCAAAAACATTTAAAACATATAAAAAGATATCGAATAAATATTTAGATAATTTAGAAAAAGTTGATAAAAATAAAAATTTCCATATAAAAATAGATTCTTGAATATAAAATTGATATATATTGAAAATAAATATAAATAATTATTTATTATTATTTCTATAATTTATTGAATGAAAATAATTATTTAATATATATCATACAGATTTTTAAGAATAAATAATGTCTAATATTGTGTTATATTCATTTTGATAATTTGAATTTTTTCTTATATGTTTCTTTGATTTTATATACATATATATATATTTATTTAATAATAATGGATAAATTGGATAAACATAAAAGTTGTGGAAAATGCATTGAATAATTTGAAATAAATAAGTAAAAGTAAGATGGAACATTTAAAGAACTTAAAACAAAAATTCTTGGGGTATATATAATTATTGACATAAGTCAAGACCTATGGCAAAATTTATTATGTATGATGGAGAAGGAAATTATCAAAAGAAATTGAATTAAGGTTTATAATTTATATAAATTGAGAGCACTAAAATCATAAAGTTTAAATTGATATGACATGGAAGAATGCAGATGTAGAAGTATGTAAAGATTAAGAAATTAATTAATAACTTATAAAAGAGTCCTAAAGTTTAGTATTACCCAAAATTTATCATCATAAAGTAAATCTTTATTTCAATTTTAGTAAGTTACTGATTTTAAACCTATTAAACCTATTCCAACTTAGGGTATAGTATTTTTTAATTTAGCTCACATTAATAGATATGGAAAATATAGCCAAAGATATCTTTTAAGATCAGATCCAATGAATTTAAGTGATAATAAATTAGATGATTATTTACCCTCTTCATAGAAATATGGACGGTTTTATTTAAGTGAAGAACCAAAAGCAAAAACTATTGTTTCTGAAGCTTAACCTTTTGAGGGATATAATCCAATTAGTCCATAATATAATGTTTTTCCAGTTGAAAAGCCAATTTTAAAATATCATAGTATGAAATCATAATTGTTCAAATATAAATGATAAAATTTGACTTATAATTCAAGCATTTATATAATAATATTTATATATTAATTATGTTTTTGATGTTTTTTGAGTAAATTGATTCCACCTAAATCTATGCAACTGATTAATATTTCAAATTTTATTAAACTTAAATTACTTAAATATTGGAGTTATTTGAAAAGAATATTTAAGAAAATAATAAAGTAAATAGAAAAAAATATTTTGAGACAAATACATTAAGTGATTATATCATGATATTTTTTAATAAAATTAATTGGAATTATCGTTGATTAAGAATAAAAGGATAAGAGCAATTATATTAATTGGAATAAGAATAAATATTCATATAAATATTAAATATTTTCTTTAGAGACAATTAATTAAGATTGGAAAATAATGATCAATCAAGTAACAACTAATGAATTAAATATTAAAGCAGTATTGATAGATTAAAAAATATAAGTTTGATTAATAAATAATATTATTACATAGTATAGTAATTAATATTATTTATTTGAATTTATAAAAGTATTAACATTATAATCATGTCATATTTACTATTATAATTAGAATCATAAAATTATTGAATCGAATTAATTTGTATATTTGAATAAATAATATTATTATGATTAATTAAGTATTTATAGATTTCTATTTATCAATAATAAGATTAAATAAATTTAAAACTGATTCAAAGCTATTATAAAAAGAAATGCATTAAACAATTTCATTTATTTATATATATACATTATATTTATAGAATCACATCTTCATTCTTATTTAAACTGATGATTGATCTTTTAAATTAGGAATATCATTTAAAGAAAAAAATTCTGGCATTACCTTTTCTTCATAAATCAAGTCCTATTTACATATATTTAAATTATTTTACAAATTCATTTCTTCCGCAATCTAATTTTTCTGCAACACATTTTTTAGCCCATTCAACATCTTATCCAACTTTAAACTAACTTGTTATGAGAAAATAATCTTTACCTCTAAATCAAATTATTTATCTCCCAATTTAAAATTTAGCTAGATAATAGAAATGCTTTACTTTTATGCTTTGTCCAGCAAATAAATCATTTTCTTATTCAAAAGTCATCACATTAGAATTTTTTAAATTAAGATTGAATCCTTTAGACATTTTCTAATATTATTATAATAATTATTATACATATAATATGTATAATCTATTTTTGAAATATTAATCTAAAATCATGTTATATATCATCTATTCAAATACATTTAAATGTTAAATATTTAAAAAAGCAAGATATCTAAAATTATAATAAAAAAACAATATATAAGAACAAACTGATTAGATGGAGATATTAATATTTTATTCTGTATTTTTATTACTAAAAAGTTGTTTAGCATTCGATTAGACTATATTTTAATTGATATAATATAATAAGCTTTAAAATATTTTTATTAAATTTTAATTTCCATCTTAATAATAATCATAAAATCAATGTCTATGATGATGGTGATGACCTCCTTTGATAAATAATTATATATACCATATACGTTAACATCATAAATTCCTCCATGATGATGATGATGAGTCAAATCTGATACTGCCATTCCTGTTAACATTCCTAGACCCATTGCTGCTCCAACTCCCATTCCTTATCTTTAATTATAATAATTGTTATAGCCTTAGTTATAACCACCTCCATATGGATTTGTATCTATTACTTCAACTATAGTAGTAGAGGTTTATTATGGGTAGGGTTAATAATTTGGCTAAAAATAACTCATATATTGATACATATGGATATGGTTATTAGCCAGGAAATCCTGGATATTAGGGATTATAGGTTGGAGGATAAGGAGTATATGGTTATTATGCAGGAGGAGGAGGTGGAACATATCCTTATTAAACAGGAGGAGGAGGAGGCACATATCCTTATTAAACAGGAGGAGGAGGAGGTGTATATCCTTATTAAACAGGAGGAGGTGTATATCCTTATTAAACAGGAGGAGGTGGAGATTGATATTGTTGCTATTGAGGATAACTATTAGTAGGATAAGGATATTATGGGGGTGGTTATTGTTGTTGTGGCTATTAAGGAGGAACTTAATTCATCATTTGATTATTTCCTGGATACTATAGAGTAGTCTAAATTATATTTACAAATTATTGCATTGCATAAGGTGGAAGAGGCACAACTCTAAATGCTATAAAATTTAACCATTTATCGAAAGATCCTTTTGCAGCTGTAAATGTATTTTATGGGGAAAAGTGTCTAAATGAGACCCCAATAGGATTTCCGAATGTTTCCTTATATCCTTTATAAGTTACAAATCCTATGGAATTGATGACATTTTCAAAACACCCATTTATTTCATATAAAAAATCACCTATTTTAAAAACAATTATCTACCCTCTGGGACTATAAATGTCTTAACATAGGCAGGAGTACTCTTAAACTTGAGACTAGATTATCCAGAAACCTTTATAAATGTTAATAAATACAAATTATCCATTTCCAACTTTATATGTAACATTGATGCCTATAACATGGGATTGGTTGAACTCAACATCAATTTTTGAGATTATATGAGGAAAAGGATAAGAACCTAAAACTTCTCCATCATCAAACTTTAGATAATTTGGATTATCAACTCCTATATAGATCTCTTACATTAATTTATTTTTATAATATAATATGATATTTGAAAAAGAAGCATATATGGTATTAAAGAATAAGTATGGAATCAATATATAAAATTAAAAATGAGAAATATAATAATACTATTGAAATAAAGAAATTCAGATCACATTATTTGAACTATATAAATTTTTACGTTTAAGAATAATTTTAAATTAGAAAAATAGATTTTAAGAATGAAAAAGTTAAAAATAATAAAAAATGAATGCTTAACTCTTGAAAAGAATAAAATAGATTTATTTTATAAGAAATAAGATTGAAATTAATTTAAATTAGTATTGATTTTGTTTAACATAAGTAAATTATTATTGAACAAATTGATTTATACTCTTACTTTGGAATATGTGAAAATTCTCTGTAAAAATTAATTGGTAACTTTTGTAATGTTGAAATGTTCTAAAACAAAAATACTATTAAAGAAGATCAATTATTACAATTATAATTAAGATATATATTAATTTATTATGATATTGATAAGTATGTTCATTATGATTGATTAAATATATACTACTTTTAATATATCAATTGTTTGATATCTAGATGAATTTATAATTTGTTTTTTAATTTAATATATATAAAAATATTTTAATAAAAATTTGGAGAGTGTAATAATTTATTAAAAGGAATATAAGTTAATTTTTGATTAATTGAAATAGATGAATGAATGATATAATATTTATAAATTTTTAAATTTATCAACCAATACTTTCTACAACTACTTACTATGTCTACCGCTATTGTATTAATAAATTATTTTATAGATTGGTAATTGCATCAGCCCATAATTAATGATGCTTGAATTTAAATAAAATATTACATCCGTGATATTGAAAGCTTATACTTAACAGAATTTAATAAAATGTCCCACTAATTCTTATTATTGCTATTTGAAAAATTATTAAGTTTATGTAAATATTTAGTTTGTGTAATATCCTACTAACATTTCCATTCCCATTTCTTATTTAGTTTCTTAATCACACATATGTTAAAATGCAAGCTTTTTATTTTATAATAATTCTTATGGATTTAATTTTATATCTTTGCTTAGATCCCATTTAGAAATATCTCCTAATTAAAATAATCGTTCCTTTTTATAATGTAATTTTGATTTGAATTTTTCTAAATCTTATTATATAACTGCTCTAGTTTCATATATTTATTTAATTGATGAATTATAGTGTTGTTAATATTTAAAGAAACTATTTAAATACTCTTCTGTTTATTCTATTTATTTTCCAATAATATTGCCCCATGTAATCATAGTATTATTTAAATTTAAGAAAGTAGCAGCTAAACCTTATGCTTATCCTGTAGGAAGTATTTAATTTAATTTATTTAAATGCTAGAATAAAGATGCAAATATTTCTCCTACACAATATATTTTTAATGAGTTTTATAATTATATTTCTTTAAGACTTTTACTTAAAACTCTAATTTTTTTATAGACTCCATCTATTTCATAGAAATAATCCTAAGTTTAATGGGCATATTATTATATTTCCATAGGAGCAACACAATTGACTTGACCATCTTTTGAGAACATTCTTTATACTGTTTATGGAGGTGCAGATTTAGTAATACTCTTAAAGATATAAATATTTATACTTCTTGGAATTTTTTAAATTCATTATTTTATGTTAGACTCAAAAAGTTTTTAACAATTACATTACTTTTTAATTCATAAGATTTAAATATACTATTTAGAAACCTTTACAAAAATATCATCCTTTTATTAAGATAGACATCTTCAAATGATCTTGATCTCTTTTTATGAATAGGTGGAACAACAAAAGCTGGATAAAATTTCTATAATGAATCTCTTAACCATTCAAAATCTGAATATCTTCTAAATACAATCCAACCATGAGGTTATGTTTCAATCTAAAATACTATATATGAAGAAGAAAAGAATCCAGCACTCTCTTTTTTATATCTATAAATATAATATAAATTTACGTCAATATCTTAACTGACACATTATCACCAGATAATTCATTAGGTAAAATTTAATAACAATTAATAAGTACAGGAGCATTACTTTATTAAATTATTTATTAATTTTGCTATGGTTATTCTTATGGTTATGGTTATTAAAGATTTCCTTAATCTTCTGTATTATTTGGTTATTATTCTTCCACTTATTTTTAAGATTCCTTAAATTATTCAATAGCTAACTCTAATAATTTTATATATAAAATTTACTTAATTCATCTAAGGTCCAATTATCAATATCATCACCACCTTCAGGTTTTAAAGAGACAAGAAATTATGCACATTAATCAGCATCTAAACCTTTTTCAACTTAATCCTATAAATATTGTTCCTTTAATGCTTTATCACCTTCTTAATTTTATTACATATTGTTTAATATAAAAATAATTATATTATATGAAGATAATTTATCGCCTTATCTCTTACTGCTATTTATGGTTACCTAAAAAACTATAGAAGACTCTTTAGAAAACATTGTTTTAACAACAAGAAAATGAATAGATTTTTAAAGTATTCTAAATAATTTAAAGTAGATTGAATTTTCGAATGGTGAAGTCTAAAAGCTTGTAAATTTTGAGATATAGAATAATTAAATAAATCTTATTAGTGTAAAGATATTTTGTATTTCTTTTAGGTTAATCTTATTTTAATGAAATTAGTTGATAAAATTCTGAGAACAGAAAATCTAATTATTTTGATTATTTTGATTATAGCGCTATCAGGAAATACATATATATAAGATTCAACAGGACAAATCATAGTTTTATTCACATTAATTTGTTATTTATTAGATAAATTGCAATATTTAATTAATCTTTTGATTATCAGTTATTAAAGATGGAAATAACAATCTAGTATTAACAACAATAAATGCCGCATTTTTTAAAAATTTCCTAATATTTCAGATGAAGAAATCTAAAAGATGGAAGATAATAATTAAGATTATATTGAGTATATTATGTTAACTAAATAGATTTAAGTCTTATCTCACAATAAATTGGTGTTAATTATAAGTTGGATAAATAGTATGTTTAAAACATGGAAAATAAAGTCCAGCTGATCTTTTAATTCTTGATTCAAGTTAAGAATAAGTGCTTGCTGATTTTGAATTACGTGTTCCATGTCCATGTACATTTGTGAATGTAAATCATAATTCTAAAGGTAATATTATGGATTTTATTACAAAATTAAATGGCTCAATCTCTTTCACTTTATAAGAAAATATTACTGGAAGTATAAAGTTGAAAAATGATCCTAAAGCAACTTCTTTTAATAAAAAGAATATGATAATGAGAGGAGAAATAATGGATAGAGCAGATTGGATTTTTGGAATGGCTATAAGAGTTGGTGATGATTGCCGTTATGTATAAACAAATCTTAATAAGTAAAGTTTTTAATCATAAAGTTGGTTAAGAGATTTTCACACTTAAATAGTATGTTTAAGTGGTGTATTATTTTCTATATGTTTTATTCCTAA